CTGTTAGCACATGCCAAGTTCTGCCTGGGAGAGAAGGCAGAGGTAACACTCATTATTTGCGTGCAACACTGTGGTTATGCAACGAGGCTCGCTCTAGATCCGGGCTGGCCTCTCCACGCATTGTTGTGTGCCTATACTAGCTTTGGGACCTCTGCTCATCTCTTCATTGTGTGCGGTTGCTTAATGCTTTGTGCTTTCTCAAGGCCACAGGGATGAGGGGAAAACAGAAAGACAAAAAATCCCCACTTTTACTTGTGAACTGCAATGCTGTCCAAAGCAAAGCTGACTCAAAGTTCTTCCACAAGCCTGTGCAGAACTGAGTGTTGCCACTCAAAAGCGGAGAGCTCAGGGCTCCTTCACTTTGACCCCAGGATGACGTTAAAAGGGAGAGGAGCTGGACGGTACAGGCAAGGGAGGGCCTTCCAGGTGCCCTACCTGCCACAGATGGGCCTGGCTGCATTAGAGGAAACTCACTGGCGCTAAACATCAGCGTCCCATCAGAAGCAACTGCTGCCTGTAATGCTTCAGCTCCTTCCCTTAAGAGCAGCAGTGGCCTTTGGTCCAGCTGTCTGCACAGGCCTGCAATCAAGCTTCTCTCCAGACATACCTTTTTCCATATTGGGACGGATGCTTTTAAGGTATTGATGCAGTACGTTACAGCTTCAAGGGATTCTGCTCTGTGTGGAGAGGAGACTGCAATAATTACACTTGCTTCAGTTATTGGAACCACACTAGGGAGAAAAGAGGAACAACAGCAGCTTTAGCTAATGCTTAACATCAAGAGCACCCACAAGTTGTGGCCATGTCACGTCAGTATTCTGGCCACACGCTCTCCTGACTCATTCATACTGAGCAAGTGTCAAGCCATGTCCAGAAGATTATACACTTTTAAAAAGAAAGAAAACCACAACCAAAACCAGTACCAGATGTGAGAATTCCATGCGTTAGAATAAACAAACCCACCAGACATAGGCTTTTTTATTCCATTCTTTTTTTAAAATAAAGTCTATGGAATTAATAAGGGGAAATTGCTCACTTGCAACAATGCATAGGAAACTCTTTGGAAGCTGGCTTAATAATGAGCAATAACAAGTTAGGAACAGCCAGCTCCTACGTGAAAACCTAAGGAATCATCTCAGCTTGCACAAGAATTTGTGAAAGAAGAATTTAAATGCCTCAAACTACGCAGATTTTGCAATGAAACTTAATTTTTGACAAATTCTGATGTCAAATTATGAAGTTTTTCCTGTCTAGTGTGGGTTTTTTCCAAACTTAACAGAAGTAGCACAAGGTTTCGTTTTGCTCCTCACAAGGTTAGTATTCCCCAAAGCTGTCTCCAAACCCTCTCTCTATAGCAAGACTCCTCTGGCAAAGACTTCATCTTAGGAAAAATCTAAGCTTAAATGCTTTGAGCTGCCCTCACAAGAATCACCCTCTCTGTTGACTACAGGGGAAATCTAAGGAAACTAACCCTCAGAGCTAATATTACCCTTTGCAACCACCTCGTAAGTTCCTTCTGCTGAGAGAAATGGAAACAATCATTTGCAACCAACTCTGCAAATCCTGCTCGTTTCAGTGAGAAATCTGATGAACAGTGAAGGCTCAAGAGTATGTCAGACACTAGTGTTCCATGTTTTGAACCCAACAGAAAATACTTATCCAAGACGCAATGAAGAACTGGAGATCGTGCAGCAAGCATGACTGGCAACTACCATGCCTTTCCCCTCCACATAGTCTAAGCTTTCAGGTTCCCTATGGCATAATTTGATTTAAATCTAACAATAAGTAAACATTCTCTTGTGAGACCCCACCTCGAATACTGTGTCTAGTTCTGGTGTCCCCACCATAAGAGAGACATAGATTTGTTGGAGCGTGTTCAGAGGAGGGCCACAAAGATGATCCAGGGGCTGGAGCACCTCTGCTACGAGGACAGGTTGCGGGAGGTGGGATTGTTCAGCCTTGAAAAGAGAAGACTTTGGGGGGACCTAAGAGCTGCCTTCCAATACCTGAAGGGAACTTACAGGAAGGCTGGGGAGGGACTTTTTACAAGAGTGTCCACTCATAGGACCAGGGGAAATGGGTTTAAGTTGAAGGAAAACAGATTTAGATTAGATCTTAGGAAGAAATTCTTCAGTATGAGGGTGGTAAGACTTTGGAATAAATTGCCCGGAGAAGTTGTGGATGCCCCCTCCCTGGAGGTGTTCAAGGCCAGGTTGGACAGAGCCTTGAGTAGCCTGGTCTAGTTGAGAGGCGTCCCTGCCCATGACAGGGAGGTTGGATTAGATGATCTCTGAGGTCCCTTCCAGCCTATGCCATTCTATGATTCTATGATTCTGAAGCACCTTCATGAAAGAGATCAGAGAAAAGAGAGTGCTGCCAAGTTCACGTCTTTAAAAATAAACACAAAAAAACCCCAAACATCCTCCCCTTCCCTGGAATGAAATGTCAATCCCTTCTCCCCACTTGCAAACCATCACACTAGCATCAAGGATCCTGCAGCCTAAATGTGGACTCCAGCTAACACTACCAATACACACCTTGTTGAGAAGATGGTTTCTGAAACTTAGCTCTGCAGTGAGAGTTTGATCCTGCAGCCAGCTTTGCTGAATTACAGTTTATAAAGACTCCTGCACATCCTGCAACTATGTAAGCACAGCCATGCACCAGACAAGGATTAATACCGCATCTGCAGAAGGACGGGGTCTGGCCATACATACCCAAGTCTATGGTGCACTGCAATATGTTCGACCGACGGCCATTTCTGTCTAACATCTCTGCAGATTTTCTTTATTTCAGTCTCTGCCATTGAAGTATATGCTTCATATTCTAAGTGAACCACTTTTTTCCCTTCAAAATTATTTCTTGTAGTACCTAAACACAAATGATTAATCAATCAAAAGCATTAAGTAAATAAATATATATTTATAATGTATTTATTGTTAAGATATTATACATAAATACTGGGTAAAACCCAGGATCTCCTGCTATGGTCAAGGTCAGCACTGTGCAAATATAAACAATCTCCCCTAATCATGACTGTGGAAAGAGATCCTTTGGACAAGAGAAATCTTTACAAGGAAGAACATAGTCTACACATTATACAAGTCTGCAGCCTGTTATGCCCAAGGCTGGGACATCTTCTGTGGTGACAGCTAAGGTGCAATTGTTGCATTTGCCCATGCAATGTTTAAGTGTTTGGTATTTAGTAGCCCAGCAGCACTAAGGTTTAAGCACAAAACAGAGTCAAGATCTGTACGATGTACATTAAGCAACAGGACAGAGCTATCAGCCTTGACCTTCACCAGCCCATGGATAAAACAGTGTTTTACTTTCTGCCAACATCCGAGCTGCTAGAGCTTTCATACAGGTGTGGACCTGTGGTTTGCATAGCCACAACATCCCACTTCCCACTCTGAACAAGCTGTGTCCCAAGGGGATGTCAAAACAGCTCCCAGGCAGTCCTGTACTCCAGAGCTGCTGTTCTGTTCAGCCCTAGGATAGCCACACCAGCAGGGAAGCTTCTCACCACTTTGTCCCAGTACAACTGTCTAAAGAGCTGCCATGGTCTTGTTCTAAATGATTCAGAATGTGTTTTCTAAACATCCTGGGTTCACTCCAGGAATTTATTTATTTGAGAAGCATGAGTTTGGGGTGTGGACAATCTAGGTTCCATTTATTAGACTATTAACACACCCAGAGATCCAGCTCAGAACTCACCAATGAACAGAGACACTGCCCCACAGCATGGCGAAATGACAAGCTCTGACACTTCATCTACAGAGAGCTTTTCAGACTTGAGCTTGATAAAATCTTTTGGCACATCTTTGCTTTCATCCATAACTCACTAGAAAAGCTGAAACCAAACAGACTCTGTTGTTGGTTTTGGCAATACTAGCATTAGCCAACTGCTTTCTATCCAGTGCTGATGCCCCAATTTATGCAGAAAATACGCATCATCTACTTTCTCACACCAAGAGATCAGTCTCCACAGCAAATTCACTTCTCAGCAGACTTGCTGAGAGAATACTAACTGCAAATATCAACCAATGACCTGGTTTTTCATGCATACAGGTTCCTTCCTGGTAGGACAGACTGGTTCATTAGGACAAAACTAGAACTAGTCTGAGGCCTCAGTTTAACCGTATAATCAACCAGCATGGACCACTGTGCTAGTAAAGCTGTGGTAAGGTTGTCGGCCACTCCTCCCAATCTTATCCTGACATCAAACACGGTTTAAAATGGAGATTTCTGATAAACACAGATTAAGAGTTCTAATCCTAAAGTTTAATGTCTCCAGGACATTCAGGTCCTCATACTATCAGTCTGTTTCAGTGACACAGGAGACACTTCTGATTTCTCCAAGTAGAAATCAGTCATCAGTTCACCTAAGAACGAGAAAGAAAAGAAGTACTTTGAGCAGCACCAATGGAACAAGCTACAGTAAATACATGGACTGGCACTTGAAAGCATGCAAAGAAATGAAGCTATTCTAAGGAGACCTGTTCCTTTGACAGCAACCAAAAAAAGAAAAAAAAAAAGGTTTTTTTTTAAGCAGCAGTCAATTCTTTTTCTGTATCATCTTTTCTGTTAAAAAGCAGCAGGAGGTTTTTCATTATTATCTTATTTAAGCAAGCTGGGTATGTACTGTCAGACAGAAACAACTATGAAAGATTAACAAGACCTAAAACCCAAATTCAAAACAATGCCTGACCTCTCTGGCAATTTTTTTTTCCATTTACTGCATATGTGTTAATCATTTATTGGTGCACCAGTCTGTAGTTTCTGTTCAGCACAATGGTCCTCTCCAGCAGGAAATGCAAGTTATACTCTCTCAAAAGAGTACCGAGGTGGAGGGAGAGGACTGCAATCACATTTCTGGACCTAAACAAAAAAAGATTATAGGAATATTATACAGAATCCATGAGATATTTTAGAACAGGATGACACCCCATAGGAAGCTAAGCAAGAAGTGATACCTACCTAACAGAACCTGGACAGATTCAGCCTCCACTAATGGGTGGGATGATGGCAATCTCGTCTCCGGGCTGCAGGACCAGGAGCTGATCTCCAAGAAGCACGTACTCCTGCCGAACAGCAAAAACCACTTGATCCCGGATGACAGCAAGCCTGAGGGGGATTGGCAGGAGCACAAATAGGTTTCTAAATAGGGTGTTTGCATTTAACCATGAGACTTCATTAAACAACAAACTGGTGCACAGGCTAGGGCAGCTGAGGTAAATACCACTGAGAGTTACACAACTCTGCTTCCAATACGCTTTCAAAAATACAACAAACACTCGCCTCCTACTCTTGGATCTTCTTCCGGTGGCTAAGGAGAAACCAACGCAGTATTAATTTTCAGAGGTGAGGAATGGGATTGGTCATAGGCCTACATCAGAACAAACCAATGTATACCAGAGCTGCTTCAGCAGCTTCTAACAAAGAAGTAGGTAACTCAAGAGCGTAGCAACCACCCAATTTGGGATTAGAAGGAAATGTTCCCCTAATTCAATCTGGCTGGACTGAAGCAATTTTCTTACACAGCAAGAAACATTGCGGGATGCTGTTCATGAGAGCTCATGAACATTCAGTGGTCAGACAGCTGCTCTTATGTAAACTCACAGTGTATGAGGCTATGGGTCTTTTGCACTTAGAGGTCTGAAATTTGATGCTGATAAGGAATGGCAACAGAACTAAGAGGGCAGATATGGCGTGTTTTCTGGCAGACCTTCTATGTATTTTTTGATTTCTCACCTGTGAGACATTGCTGTGAGAGTCTACTACTCTGGATACAATTGGGCAGGGAGTCACTTTCATGACTAAGTGCAATCACACAGTTAGTATGAGGGCAACACCAGTAAGACACCAGAAGAAGAATGACGACATTTTACTTTAGAAGGTGCAGGCGTGATAAGTGTTATTGTTTGAGGCCACACAATGTGCCACAGATAGCAGAGAGCCGTATATCCTGGGAACAAGCAGGCACGCCAAAAGGGTACAAGTAAAAAGCATCTTATTTCCTACCAGCCAGATAGACAAAAGCAGGCAAGGCACAGGCTGAGCAAAACACAGTAGCACTGACTCAAGAGGGTAGACCGAAGGGAGGGACTGTATGAAAGTAAATGAAACCACTGAGGAACTGAGTGCAGCTATAGAACTGAAGTGCACAGTAGAAGGATGGGCTCTAATTAATGTCACTTGCAAGTTAATCCATTGGGGAAAATGGGTGGAGCAGACAAGCATTGTCAATTATGCTCAAGCTGCAGTCTGAATATCCGCTAGCAATGTGCATAAAAGTCTGTGGTCAATGCCCTACGATTATGTTCAGTTTTTCCAGAAAAGCTAGGAGCAGAAGCATTTTCCAGGAAGGCCGCTGTGAAGTAACTGCACATGCAAAATGTACCACCCCAAGTCATCATTCATAAAAGGACAAAGTTGACAAACTATGGCAAACTGACCAAAGGTGCTGCTCCTGCTTCTGACACCATGTAATAGACTCCAAAGTAAAATACACTCATTCCTTATTGTCTCCTCCCCCAAAACACACTTGGTCTCAATTCTCAGTGAGGAAAAGGCCTCTGGTCTAACATTTGGTTAAAGCTTCTCATTTGGAGACAGATGCCATTGCTAAACAGTTGTGAGTTTTTTTCATAGCTTTTGAGACTAGATCTAATAAGAAGGGTAGTGCCTAAAGGAGGACTTTGGCAAAAAGTCAAAAAGTCCAAAGTTACGGAAATTCCAGGGCATTCACCACTAAATCCTGAGGACCTCAACCTCTGTTAAACCTTTTTTTTTTTTTACTCCCAACCCCAAAAGAGTGTTGTACCTTTGTCTATCACTCATTCTTGACGGGACTGAGCACCTTCCCTCAGCCTGAACCCGAGGGGGATTTCTGCTGATACCTCCAAAGAGCACCAGTACTGCAGGGTTCCTTACAGCGCACACCTAGCGCTGTCTCAGGACCAGACTCCCTATGAAATGCAACCAACAGTGTTTTGTTTTGGTTTTTTTTTCAAAGCAGAGGAGGTTGAGAATGTCTGAGCCTGTTGCCTATGTGAGGGTCGAATGGCTGGGAGCCTGTGTCAGGGCTTCAGTTGCCTTCCAGAGCAAGCCATAAGGGACCTAAAATACCTGCACGTGATCAGGAATTTCTTATTTATTGCCCTGGCTGTGCCTGGTCCTTCCTTGAGACACCTCACCTACCTCCTCCACGGGTTAATAACGTTGCTCAGGTGGTTTCATGTGCGGTGGAGTTATTGCACTATGGCCCTCCTGGACAACAGCCACATATCCTGAACCACCCCTCAGGCCTCGCTTTTGGGTTTATGGGACCTAGTTTTTCCTCGTGTGTACATAAAGCTACAGCATTTGCAACCGGCCAAAACGCAAAACACTAGCTGCAGGTTACAAAGTTACAAAAAAAAAAAAAAAAAAAGGCGATGTGACTGGTTTTTGGTATCAAAGTACTAATAATGTCTTCCAGCTCGAATCTAAACGCTGAGTTCGCGTTCACCAGAAAAGCCCAACCGCGTTAAGGTTCGTGCACCTCCGCAGCGACCTCATCATCCGATCTAGGTGGTCCTGCTCCGGCAGGGGGATTGGACTAGATGATCCTTTGAGGTCCCTTCCAAACCCTAACATTCCGTGATTCTGTGACCTTCCCAAGTACCTGGGGTGGACCTTGACGATCTCCTCCCAGAGCTGCAGGGCGCTGATCCGCCGCGGCACCGAGAGGGTCTCGCAGCGCAGCCCCG